ATATCATCCTAATTCAACTAACAATACTTGAATACCTAATCAACTCAGCTCCAGGTCCCGGCTGTGGGAATGAAGGAAATATTTTTCTAGTGGCATGAAATGAGCGACTTATTACCTAAATTAGTTCCTTTGACTGTTGCTGTGGTTTATGTCCTTCTATATTTGAAGTGGTTGCGAACTAAGAAATCAGGTTACTCATTCTTCTTCTTTTTTTTTTTTTTTTCATTCCCTGACCTAACAGAGAATTACTGAACAAGCAGGAGTTGTCCTCTCACTCGATCCAAAACCAATTGAGGTGATCTAAAATTCTTTATGATTTTTTTGTTATTCAAATTAAGTACAATTATGAAACTCCATTTTTTCTTCTCTGGTCCTGGTATTCACAGGGTGACTGGAACGGTGCAGGATGCCACACTAACTACAGGTAGCTCCTTTTTTTCAAGAGAGAAACTAGGAATCTTAAAGATAAAATTTTGGATATGAATCTGTTAAGACCGAAATCACTTGCTCAATATGTGGTAGTTGCTACAGCTACGAATTAGTTGCAAGTGACTTTTACGATTCATCATTTTGTTTCATGGTTTTTCTTTCCCCAAGTTCTTGTTTCTCTGTTTAACCGTCCCCCCTCTCCGATTTTCATTTTTCCAATTTAGCAATTTTGTTTTCTGGAAACCAATGTATGGCTTCCATAGTAAAACTCCTTTGAAGGATTCACTTACTAGGTATTCATGGTTTGTTGTTTGCAGTACACTGAGTATGAGAGAAGAGGGAGGCTTTGAAGTGATAAAGAAAGCAATTCTTAATCTATCCCTTCGCCACAAGGAACATATAAGTGCTTATGGAGAAGGAAATGAGAGAAGGTTGACCGGAAAGCATGAAACTGCTAGTATTGACCAATTTTCATGGGTATGCCTGCTGCTGATCTTTCCTTCATTTGGACATAAATAGTGTGTACCAACTATCCTCATTCCTGCTTGATTTTCTAAATATGCAGGGAGTTGCTAACCGTGGTTGCTCAATCCGTGTGGGGCGTGACACTGAGAAGGAAGGCAAGGGTAAGTTTCTGCTTTATTAGTGGAGTAACATTAGTATCCTTTAGTTTTCTGTGCAATGATGAAAAATGTAGCTTATTTTGCGGACCACTTTTATCAACATACATTTAGCATACAAAGAAAGTTAAAATACTGGATCTCAAAATAAAAAGAGATGAATTAACTCTTTTCTTAACAGTTATCCATGATCCATGTATCACTGTTTCTCATGGCCTTTTAAAGAATTTGCAACTATTTAGCTAAACACTTTGGCCTTGGCATTGATGGTCCTTCTGATGCTGTTATTTCTCCTTTTTTGTTTCTGGGGTTGGTGGATGCAGGTTATTTGGAAGACCGCCGCCCAGCTTCAAACATGGACCCCTATGTTGTGACCGCATTACTTGCCGAAACTACTATACTGTGGGAGCCAACCCTTGAGGCTGAAGCTCTTGCTGCCCAAAAGATCTCATTGAAGGTTTAGAGTATTTGAGGGGAAATTGTTTTCATCATAATCCTCTTAGAGTTATGAGATAAGTGCTGAAGCTTGTACCTTGTTGAGATTCCCTTATTTGGGAAATTCTTGTAAAGGAATCAAAATTTACCAGTTCATCCTAGAAAGAGGTTCCTTAAGACATGAGACTACTTTGGAGTTGAGGTGTAATTGTTGGACTACTTTGAACATCTTTACCTTTCTTTTCTCCAGATGAATCCATTTCTCTGAAATTCCAATTGGTGTGATTTTTCCGAATTAAATCTTTGAACACATAATCAGTCATGTACACTTACAGTTTCAAACTAGCTAGTTAAGTTACTTATATGATATTATCTTCTGTCTGCTATGTTCAAGCTCAGGTTCTTTAGAGAATTCATCATAATAGTTTATTTCATGTTGGCCATCAATCTGCCACGACTCTCGTCCTTTATCTGGATTTAAACTTGGTTGCTTTCCAACATATACATATTCATGTTACATGGACTTGTATAAATGTATCCAGCATGCCATTTTCCAGAACTTTGTACTTGATGTGCAAAGTAAATGAAGACTTCAAGTGAATAAAAGATGCATAATCTCATGTACAAGCTTGCCTTTCTTTTCTTTAGAATATTTATTAAATACCTTTTACATCTGTGTGAAGCCAAAGTGATTCCTTTCCCCTATCAGAATGCTACTGATAAATTAGTCCAAGAGATTCTTTTCATTTCTTTGGAGAAAAAGCTACAAGCTGTCAATGTTGTCTGGATAAAGAATGGAACAATCATGGCTTTATATACATATATGCATTCAGTATTGAAATCACAAAAAGGATTTTGATTCAATAAAATTTCCCTCCTTTGCTTTTTGTCAAAGCTAAACTTGTCAGGCCATGGCGTCAGGGGCAGGCAAATCAGCAGCCTTTATGCTTTTGGTTCTTAATGTTTTCCTTTACTTCATTGTTGCTGTAGTTTCTGGTTGGGCTGTCAATCATGCCATAGAGAGATCCGAAGCAACAGGTAATTTCATCGATCCTTTCTCTTCTTCTTTTTTTGTCATTCAGAGCACTGTCCTGTCAAGGTAGAAGTTGTTTCCACAACATGTTTTACATGAAAAAGGCGTCGCGTTGATGATTTTTAATGTGATGAAAAATATTTGCAGCATCAAGTCTGTCAATCCCAGCTAAGATCTTTCCTATATACTTTCCTTTTGGGAATATGGCAACTGGTTTTCTCATCATATTTTCACTTATTGCTGGAGTTGTGGGCTTCATTTCCTCACTCACTGGAATTCACAATGTGATACAATGGAATGCACCAAATTTACATGCAGCTGCTTCCTCTTCTCTCACCACTTGGCTACTCACTTTACTTGCTATGGGGTAAATATTACTTCCTCTGTTCTTTTTTACCTGTCACAATTTCCTTTTTGAGAGTCATACGATATGGACTTTGACTAACATTTTACGATGTATTTTCTCATCATATTGATATGAAAAAGAATTGCAATTTATGGTACTTTTCATATTCTTTCACTAGCTTTGAAAGTTGAGTGAAATTGACTCTAGAAAAACGCAACGTAACAACTAAAGCGGAGAGGGAGTACCACTTTCATATGTCATTTATATATATATTTTTTTATTTGATAATTATACATGACATAAAAATTTCAGAGTAAGAAAAAACAAAAAGAAATGTGATTCTTTTTAATTTTATGTTTGTGATTGCAGGTTGGCTTGTAAGGAGATTAATAAGGGGTGGAGTGACTCAAACTTGGTAAGTTTTTCATATACCTTTTTTTAGTCAGAAGAAAGTAAACAAGAGGCGGAGTCAATATTTGAGTCGCTGATTCTATATTCGGGTGAATCGAAAAATTTAGTTGCAATTTAATTATTTTTTACTATGTTTTGTAGAGGACCTTGGAGACCATGTTGGTAATATTAGGTGGTACACAAATGTTTTGCACTGTTGCAATTCATGCTGGAATTGAAGATGTTATTACACGAGAGGTTTAAGAAGAGGAAGAATTTGAGAATTTTTACAATTTATTAATGTACCATAAATAATTTTTATTTCTTTCCCCATCATTTCACTAAGTTTTAAGTTTTAAGTTTTAATGTGTGTGTGTAATATATATTAAATTCGTTTTTTGTGGTTGTCTTTTTCTTGATGGACTTTGTAAAGATGTGATATGTACAGTCTACAGAACTTTGTTATTTGCTAGTTTTCTCCCTCTTTCATTTAAAAAAAAATAGTCTAGTTTGACTTAAAATGGAGTTTTAAAAAAAAAAAAATTAATTTTGTGGTTCTAAATTAAAGTTATGTCAAATATATCAAAATGTCTTTTAATCTTGTGGCTTTAAACATGCCACGTGAAAAATAGAAGTTAAATGGTTGCCAAAAAAAGAAATTGGTCATTCTTTTTGAAACAGACCAAAAAAAAAAACTAAATCATTCTTTTTGAGACGGAGAAAATACTATTTTTCGGTGAAATATTATCAGGGGTGTTCTTTTTGGAATGATGTTAGAATAATTGCGAAGCACGAACAATGAATTATACATTTTAATAAGAATTGTTGAACTTGCCACTAAAAGAATCACCTCAAATAGAATTTTAAATTTCTCATAAATAAAGTACTCCCTCTGTCCTGATTTACTTGTTCATTTTTTATTTGACACATTTATTAAGAAAATAATAATTGATATAGTGAATTTATTATTTTACTTCTATTAATTAATAAAATTTTAAAATCAATTTACTCATTAAAGAGGTTCTTCCTCCTTTAAAAATATGAACTCTCTAAATAAATTAAGAATATAAAATATTATCTTTTCTTAATTTATCAAAAATGATAAAATAAAAAGGGACAAGTGAAAAATTAAAATTGGAGAAATAAAAAGGATCAAAAGGAGTATTTTTCATCAATTAAATATTCCTGGTATGCGTGTCAAATCTTTTTCGTATTGTGGAAATTTGTCAAGAGAAGAGCCATTGAAATTTACATTTAATTCCTAATTTATCTCTATCACTAATTATAGTTATTTTTATTATATTTTTCAAAACATTATATCAATTATATTCAAATGATGATATTTAAAATTATCATTCTATTTATAATTTCTTAAGAAGTGTGTAAAGTTAATAATGAACAAGTATTGTTAGACAGAGGGAGTATCAAATTATAAACGCATAATACATAAATATGACTTTTGACTTATTTCAATTGATATTTATATCCTTTAATATTGGGTGTGTTACAAATAGATACTTAAATTTAGATAAAATTGAACTGGTAAATACACACCTTCTATGTGACATAAAACACGTACAACGTTACGTCGAACACAAATTATCACGAAGAACGCCATATATTATAATTTATTTATTCAATTTTATACAAATTTGAATACGTAGTCGTGCACATCCAAATATAAAAGACATAAATATAAGCAAAAGCAAATTAAAAATCACATTTATACCCCCATAAAACATTCCAATTGGACACAAAAGGAAGAAAAAATAAATTACAATTTCCTTTCATTCACATCCCTGTAATCTCTCCTTCCTCATCACATCACCCATGTATGCTAATTTCCTCCACAACTACCCAACTCTAACACCAACACTTTCTTCAATCCATGCCTTCACACCTAAGAATCACTTCACTCCAAATCAAAGAACAGAGCCCCTTTTCCTGCATCTTCAACCAAAAAAATCAAGAATCATTATCAATTGTGCAGCAAATAGGGATGGTGTTAAGGGTGCAGTGAACTGGGCAGAAATTCTTGATAAATGGTCGCCAAAAAAGTTTCTTGGAGCTGATAAACTATTTAGAGCTATATCTGGAGCAACTTCTAGCCCCATTGCACAGTACATACCTGCTCCATTCACTTTTGTGCACTCTGTTGATCCAAGAATCAAATTGGTATAAAAATTTGTCTTTTTTGAGGTTTTTAGTGTGAAAAGTGTTGAACTTGTTTAATTTGATTATTGGGAGTTTTCAGTTTTTATGGGTTGTTTCTGAAGTGTACAATATGGTTCAGTAATTGGGGTTTCTTATTTAGCTTTGTATGTCCATGGGTTGTTTCTGATTGTATTGGATGGTTCAATAATTGGGATTGCTTGATTAGCTGTGCTAATGATTAAATACCATAAAAGGAAAATGTTAATTTTAGTTCATCAGAGCAGGTTGTGAATAATGTTATACATGTTTTTTTCACTATGCTAAGTGGATTAATAGAGCTGGGTTTTGTGAACTATGCTGTTCGTAGAGATAGGAGTGAGGAAAAGAGCTCTTTCTTCCATTTTGAGATCTTGCTTTGATGTCTTTAAAATGCGTTTCTCGGTATTATCAATTGAATTTATATAATCTCAGTTGTAAGTGAACCCTGATCATGGGAATCCTAATATCAGTTTTTTTTTTAATAAGTTATCTAAGGTTTTTAGCCGACTCCAACTTGTTTGAGAGTGAGACACAATTGTGGTTGTAATGAAAATTTCTACAAATACTTGCACTAATTTCAGATTTTTTTATTGTTATTTGCTTGCGAGGGTGTGTAATCGAAAAGGGCTTAACATTCTACTGAGGAAGTTAATTAAGAAATGTGACGGAGATAGGTTGGTGGTCAAGGGGTTAATATAATTGCTTGATAGACAATGGGGTCATCTTTTGCTGCAGGAAGTGGATGGAGTATATCCCTTCTGAAGCTGCATGTCTTGCCCATAGCATAATGGAATATTTATAATCAGCACTGCTTAAGTATTGTGGCATCTATTGTCCACGAGTTCTACAAGCATTATGCTTGGCATTTATTGCTTTCTTCTTCACTAAGAGAGGTCACGTTAGAGTGTTAAAAGAAAGGTTGTTTTATTCTGTTTCTTTCATTCACGATGTCATCTGTTCTGTAGTTAAAGACTGATTTTACTTTGGATCCCCCATTTCTTGGTTATGCAGGCATGGCTCTTTACTCTGGTTATTTTACCGGCAAAATCAAATGTAGTCATACGTTTGTCATTGGTTGCGTACTTAGCTATACTATCTATTTTGGTCCAGCCTTCACAAGTGTGGAAGGTAAGTTTGGCCGTGAATCTTAATGAGTTTCATGCTTCCAGTTGTTTTTCTTCTATTTCTGATGACTTGTGGGGTATTTGCCTTGTTTGTTTCACTACAAATTTTCCAATGCTTGAGAGTTCCCTTGACGATTGTCTAATATGGTTACAGGATCAACTCGGGAGAGTCACACTGCTGTCCGGGATCTTATTTATAATGCTGGGCCTAAGTACTGACAGTGCACCTTCCCTTATCTCTTCAAGAGCTCCCCCACCTTCAATGATGGGATTACCATCTTTTCCTGCATCTTTGGAAGGTTATAAATATGTAATCTTGAAGCTGGGTCCATTACAACTCACCAGAAAAGGCTTATCAACCGCTACTACATCAGCATGTTTAACCTTCACTGTGAGTAGTGACTTGCCATTTGTTGTTGAGTTGACATAGCAAACTAGTTCTGTATTCCTTCTAGCAGCATCAAGGTACACTTTTCAAATGAAAACAAATGGTTGCTTTCTTAATCATCTAAATAAGTGGTTGCTTTTTCATCTAGTTAATGTGAACTAGTTTCAGTCAGTTAATGTTTAAGGTCAAACTTGAAGATCTTCCACCTTTAATCTAACATTCTTTAATGCAGCTTTAAGAAGAAAAATAGAGTCTGGCTATTCTGTTTAAGTCAACTTGTCTAAAATTCAGAATTTGTTGACTCTTTTGAATTGCTTGGTGAAGTCATTGGGAATCTTAAAAGTAATATAAACCTATGGACCGAACTATTTGAGAGGTGAATTTTCTGGATTTGAGAAAGCTGTACAAGGAATTGACAATGAAAGAGATTCATTCCTGAATATCGCATTATCCCCTCTGGACTCCAATATTCTGCTCTCTTCTGAACTTAAGGAAACAATCAACGTCAAGTGCCTGCAGGCTTGTTTGAATTTAACTCTCAGTAACACTCTGATTCTAAATTTGTTCTTGTTTGATTAAAGATCTTCCAAAGTGCAAGTGTATTCCTATCAACCACAACACCGGAGCAGATAGCTTTTGCCTTGCGGTGGTTTATATCCCCTTTGGCCAACCTTGGTGTCCCTGTTGCTGAAGTTATCCTTACTCTCCTGCTCTCCTTGAGATTTATCAATCTTGTGTTTGATGAGGTGAGTAACTGTTATTCTTTGTATTAAATTCAATAGAGGTGGAGTTATCATTATGTAGAATGCACTGATTATAGTCGGCAATAATTTGAAAATTCTTCACAAGAAAAAGAAAAAAGGGAACTGTTTTAAAATTCTGATTCTTTTTGGTAATAATTCTGGCAGGTCCGAAATGTTGCTCTTGGTATTGTATCTCGTAGGATTAATTGGCAGCAGATGACAATGTTGGAGACGATAGATGGTTAGTGTATCATTGAAGAGAACCTATTTCATTGCATTTTAAAATTGTGTGATTCACTGATAACACTTCTCTTCAAAGATCTTCTGTTGGTGAAGAGTTTTCTTTAGTGCACTCCAATTGAGTTAGTCGGTTACTATGTTAATACTATACACAGAAGATAACAAGATCTCCTAATAGTTCAACTCTTTTCCCTAACTATATAAATTGCCTTGCAAATGATGAAGTACAAATGATGCTGTTCCAGTGTTGTTACCGTTTCTCAACTACAGAAAAAATGTCTGCTTCATGCTGACCAAATGTTGTTCCATTCTTAATTTTGTGAAACCCTCATCTTTTCCCTACTGTTATTTTATCCTAAAGTTATTGCTTTCTGCTCTCTAAGATACTGAATTTGATCTCTTGCAGTTTTCTTCACATATATTCGTCGGATATTCAGAAATATTTTTGTTCATGCAGAGCAGATATCTCAGGTGTGATTTATAACATGATGTCTTATTTTAGCATTTATCTAGCTGATCCTTCTCTGTGTGTTTTGGGTTTTTGTTTGGCTTCAAGTAGGTGTGTCTTTCCTCTCTCTCTCTCTCTGTATTCTACAAGAGATCAGTCAATGTTAAATGTTTCATTCTGCACTGTACAAATATGAAAGTATAGTTAAAAAAATAAAACAAACAAATATCAGTATGTGGAATGGGACATACTTCATAGTGAAATGTGAAGCAACATTATGAGTTGAATTGTGGACATTTTATGGTGGTCGGACCATCAATACCAGCAACAATTTATTGAAACTGAATTATGAGTGCTTAAGCTGCTTAGAGTCCTAGAAACAGGTTTGCACTCTAGTCATTGTTAAGAGGCTAGAACAAAATAATGTGATTCCAATACCCTTTGGGGTGGTCCAATGGTTTGGGCTTGGGACTTCCATGTTGGAGGTCTCAAGTTCGAAACCCCTTGCTAGCGAAAGCAAGAGGTTTGCCTTCCGGGTCGAGCTCGTCGCACCGGGCTTGCCTAGTGTGGGTTACCTCTCCTATGTGGTTTGCGAGCTATTGCATAGGAGCGGAGGTTTTACCACCCTGCTGCGGGTTTCCCTTATCATAAAATAATGTGATTCCAATTCATATACTTTGCAAGCCCCACAAAATCAGATCTTTTTAATGTCTAATGGATATGAATTAACTGGGGACGTGTAGATCTAATTGTGAGAAATATATGGGAAAAATAATATTGAATTGTGTGTCTAAATAGTTACATTGAGACCCTATTTATAGACACTACATTGGAATCCTTTTCCAACTAGGATTCATATTCTTATTCCTATTCCTATTCCTATTCTAAGTAGGAAATTCTTATTTCTATTCTAACACTCCCCCTCAAGCTGGTGCATACAAATCATATGTACCTAGCTTGTTACAGATGTAATTAATACGAGGACATGTGAGGGACTTGGTGAAGATATCTGCAAGCTGATCATTTGACTTCACAAATTTCGTAACAATATCTCCCGAGAGTATCTTTTCTCTGACAAAGTGACAGTCAATCTCAATGTGCTTAGTCCTTTCATGAAACACTGGATTTGATGCGATATGAAGAGCCGCTTGATTATCACACACAAGTTCCATCTGATCAATTTTGCCAAATTTTAGTTCTCCCAGCAACTGTTTGATCCAAACTAGCTCACAAGTTGCTGTCGCCATTGCTCGATATTCTGATTCTGCACTAGATCGAGCAACCACATTCTGTTTCTTACTCTTCCACGACACCAAATTACCTCCTACTAAAACGCAATATCCGGATGTCGAACGTCTATCAGAGGGTGATCCTGCCCAATCAGCGTCTGTATATCCAATGATATGCTCATGGCCTTGATCCTCAAAGAGTAGTCCTTTACCGGGAGCTGACTTTATATATCGCAGAATACGAACAACTGCTTCCCAATGACTATCACAAGGGGAAGTCATAAACTGACTTACAACACTCACAGGAAAAGAGATGTCAGGTCTAGTCACTGTGAGATAATTCAACTTTCCAACAAGCCGTCTATACCTTTCAGGATTACTAACCATGTTAAATTAGGTCTTAGGCCTAACTCACACCCCAAAAGCTAGCTCAAAGGGAGG